TTTAATGTCTTACAGCAGGGTTGTGATTACCTTAGGCTTATTTTACGCGCCTCACTCGTATGTTTTAGGTTGAATGAGAACATGACCGTATGTGTAGCGGACTTTGGTCTTTCCAAGAAGATCTACAGTGGTGATTATTACCGACAAGGGTCCGTCTCAAAGTTACCAGTGAAGTGGATAGCTCTGGAAAGTTTGGCTGACAATGTCTACACAACACAGAGTGATGTGGTAATGTATATTTTTCCCAAAATCAGTCCCTTACAACGTGCATAAACACATACATTAATATGCATGTTTGAAATTTGTAGTAACTTATTACTTATTTTGTGAAGAGTTGGTGCTGTGCATGTGGCCTGATTATTAGAGGCACTCGCCTGAAGATAGAATGTCTTCTTTTCCCAGAGTGCACTAATGCTCCTTGAATCAGTATGGGTATATTTAATCACTGTATACTTGTTGTCTTCAGTGGGCTTTTGGGGTGACCATGTGGGAGATAATGGCTCGAGGGCAGACACCTTATCCTGGAGTGGAGAATTCTGAGATCTATGAGTATCTCATCAAGGGGGAGAGACTCAAACAGCCACCTGACTGTCCAGACGACATGTGAGTTTAAGCCAATATGCTTTTTCATTTTTTTTTGAGCCAGAAAGTAGGGCTGGTCTGAATAATTTGACCACTCCAGTACTTGTTTGTTACATTGGTATTAGTTTCTCTATTTAGTATTTGGAGGCTTTGCCTTTTTTATTGTACATATACACAATTGCTACAGGTAAATTACTTAAGAATAGTTTAGTTTATTGCAGGGGTGCACAACTCTGCTCCAGCACAGTTTGGTGACTTACCTGCTCCAACACACCCACTGAACCTGGCAGTTACGAAATGAGTTGAACCAGATGTGTTTGAACAGGTAAACCACCAAACTGTGCGGACACTGTTGTGCACCCTTGGTTTAATGCCTTATAAATTAATGACAGGCTTCCGCATCACCTTGCCTGAAAGTGTAATAAACGACACCAGTTTCTAGATGGCCATTGAAGCTAAAAGATGCCTAAGAAGTTACTTGTGGGAACACTAAATTATTGGCGGACAGGTAAAGTGCTCAGGGCATAATTTGTAATAAGAGGCTGCTATACCATGAAGACATGACAACTTTGATGAATCTTCTTATACATGTAAGTATAGTTATTCTTATCAGAGTAACGCTTGGTGGGTGACATGCTTTGCACCATGACTGATTTCAGTTCATTTGCTTATCACTGGTATACAATATTAATATATTGTTGCCGCCTTCTGGATATATTTTGAACTGCAGTATTGAACGTACTTAAAATTATGGTTAATTTTCAAATGGAAAGACTGTTTTTAAGGGTAGTTTTGAGGATGAATTCAGGAAGTCATTTGGAAATACCAACAATTATTAAAAGCCTGTTCTTCCACAAAAAACCATTGTTAATAAACAAACAACCTAAAGCATTAGTACTAGTGTTATAAGTGTTAAGATAGTGTTATTCAGTTCATTGAAAACACTGCAATACAATGAGCTAAAATAAAAGTACGGGAATTAACAGTAGCCTCATAGCCTAACAATAGGAACATAGGAATTAACAATAACCTCATCTGGTTACAATTATGCTTGTACGTATACTGTATTTGTAGATGATCCTGTGATTACTCTTGCTGAATGACCTTCCCTGTGTTGATTGTGTTTTAAAATAAAATGTGTCAGCTGCTGTTTTTGATTTCATATAGTACATTAAGTGAATGATATAGATGTAAAGTTCACCAATAAGCAGAACTGCCGCCCTTGCAGTTAAATTTTTTGAATACAAATGACCTGATCTTTCTTTTCATTCTCTCTGCCACCTTCAAGTGTATGCTTAAACATACAGCTGTCAAATAAACATGTAGCTGTCAATGTCAACCTCATAATTCCATTTTTTTTCAATCCGTTATTATGCCATTTGATAACACCAGCTGCTCTTTACATTGCATTTAATGAATGGACCAATAGAAATGGTCTAAAATAACTTGGAGAAAAAATTGTTACAAAACATACAGTAAAGTTAGGAATGTTTTTTTCATTCTTCTACCAAGTTACCATTTGGTGAAAGTTTTATGACCCCATGCATTCATAAAGGTGTAGCATAATGGAAAATGCTGAGGGAACAGGGGCATTTGTGAGGTTGTGCATAACATAAAGGACAGGCTATATACACTGGCTTGCATGACCACATGAATCTACAATCACCTGCTGCTAACTAAGAGCATTGTTTATGCATACATTTCCAAGGTAACTGCCAAAAATGATCACTTAAGATATATCTTTATTAACTTCTTAAGCATATGTTACTGCAAGTCTTGATTTATTGTTATCATTTATGTTTATGTACTATGATACACAAAAGATGACAGCTGGTCACATAACTAACAAATCATTTTGAGAAATACATTTTTGACTTTTGAGTAACCTTTCTTTCCCTTCTCTTGTCCAGTTATGAGATCATGCACAGCTGCTGGTCTCCTGTCCCTAAGTGCCGTCCCAGTTTCCAGCACCTGATAGCCCAGTTGGACGGTTTGTGGGCCGGGCTGTCTCCAGCACCTATGAAGGAACCATTGCTCTATGTAAACCTGGAGGGTGAGGAGGGGGAACCAGACTCTGGGCTTGGGGCTGGTGCTGGGACCCTGAACACTGAGGAGCATTCGTGGGGAGTGCCTTGGCAATGTGTGGGAATGGAAGAGGATGAAAAAGACTGGCTCATGGTATCATCAGGGGCCGCACTGGCTATCGGTGGAGATTACCGCTATATTATTGGCCCACGTGGTGCCATAGATGGCGAGAGCAGACAGTCTGAGGATGGCCTGTCAGAGGACGTCAGGGATGACGAGGAGGATATTATCATAAATGTTTGATGTGATTTTTTTTTTTCTTTTTTTTGGACTACACCCAGCCTTTCCTGACTCAACTAATCACACAAATGACTTGTCAAGAGCAGGTGGCTCTGGGAAAAGCACTGGAGTTAGTACAGGATAAAGCATCTTGGAAATTCCTTATAGACTAGGGGCATTTATGAGGTAGTGAATAACATAAAGGACATGCTAACTACACTGTCCTGTGGGGCCACATGAATCTACAATCACCTGCTAATAACTTTGAAGTGAAAGCATTTTAGATTTTAATTAATTTTTACAAGATCAAGATATCAGGATTTCACACTGGACTGCCACAAAAGTTCAATACTGTACATTTTAGCTTTAGCTTTATTAACTTCTTAAACCAGTGTTGCTGTAAGCCCTGATCATTTGTTTTGATGTATTTGCTCCATCAAAAATTGATCAAACTAACATTTTGCTTTTAGTTTGTCATGAAGGAAAATGGCTTTTTTTCCAACATCAGTATTTTATTGCAGCATTTGTATATACAAGGATGCAACAAGTTACATGGGATCAGAGATTTGGTACCTCATAAAAATGTTCTCTGCAGTTGTTGTACATTAGAGTAAAATGACTTGCTGCACACAACAGGGCATAATAACCATGTCCTATTCATGTTATAAATGCCATCACCAGGCCCACATTAGAGCATTCTGTGCATCAATGGATATCAAGGGATGTGAATTTTTCATGTGTTGAAATGCCACTTGTGTTTTATGTTATTCTGATAGCTCCTCCTCATCAGATATAGCAGAGTTCAAGCTTGGATGATATTCAGGCTTGTGGTGCTTTTATGGAGCAGCATAACTTGATCAGCTCTCACTACATGTCCCCCCCCCCTCATATGACTTCCTGTCGCTGTATGTGTTTGACCCTAGATTTTAGTTTCTTTGAGTACACAAATTAACATTTGTGTTTTACTTGTATGTTTGCACATGGTGTGAACTTTCAACATTCATCAGTACATCTTTTAAAGTATTTAACATTTATCAATTGAATGAGAGGTGAACATGTTACAGTAAGTGTAGCATTATGATGTCTAATCTACAGCACAAGTTAGACAAAATTTATTTGAATGAAAGCACATTGTTACAAAACAAAGCTAAGAATAAGTGTAGAATTACTACATCTAATCTAGATTTTTATTTGAATGAATGTACATTAGTACAGAAACAGACAAAACACTTATTTGAACAAGTGTTGTGCATAAATTAAACCTGAAAAGCATAACGTTTAGAATAAAAGTGATGAATGGGTAATGTACATCAGATCAATGCAATAAAATATTGTTTTGAATAGAAGATCACGCTTTGGGTGAAACTGAAAACGTAGAAACTGTGAAGTTTTTCCTGTTGGAGATGATTTCAAGTGCTCTCCACCTCATACGGCACCTTTTGAATCAAATAAAATTGTTTCAGCAGATTATGAGCATTATTTTTTTCCCCATTCACCTGCCTAGCCAAGGCTAAAACAGCCCAATTTCACGTTTGGGAACAGTTCGCTTGGGCTTGACAGGATTACGCTGTAGTAGGTGATGCCCTTCACCCATCGTTGTTCGAAAACGTGAAATCGAGTCATAACAGAACAGGTTAGATTTCTGCCCGCCGCATCATCAACAGCGCAATCTGACTCACGCTATAGCTCTCTACATGCCAGACCTAACGCTATAGCTCTCTACATGCCAGACCTAACGCTATAGCTCTCTACATGCCACTTAAATGGTATTTTGTGCCAAAAAAGAGTCAGAGATGCAAAAATACAGCGGAAATGACTGAACAAATGTTGGTACGTATATCCACGACGCTCCGTCAATGATTATCTCTCAGTTTCCTCGGTCGACGTGTTTCCCACTGACTTTGAGGGCAAACCGCTGATATTCAGTCCATATAAAACGCTTTCTTGCAGACAAAAATGGTGCCTATACAGACCTGGACCAGTGAGCGCGCAGGCAGAAGCGAAGTGTTAAGTAAGCGCATGCGCAGTTCTTGTCTTCGCCCACGTGGTCGCGCGCGAACACGCTGCGTGCACGCGCCCTGCTCCGTTCGAGCCTTGACGTCGTGCGTCACAGCATGCACGCACAGTTTAGAGGGTGAGACGCACGGTATGATAGTTGAAGCGCAATAAAAAAGGGACGACATAACCGCGTACAGGAGGAGCGGTGCGCGTTGCGTATAAGAGGTAACACTTCGAAACGGGCGCGTAATCGTGCACTTACTGAGGAATAAACCCACGTGCTCAGATTCCAGCCCACCTTTTGCTCGCTTTCCGATTCAGCCACCATTCGGCGCTGCTCGGTGTGCACGTTCCTCCGGCCTTGTCGAGGTAGCGACGTCGGCGACATTAACTCGACGTCCCCTGATTCAGAGGTGATTTGAAACTTTGTTATTTTCTTTGTGGAACGCCAGTTATACTATGCCTGCTCCACTGTAGGAGCTCAGAAGCGGCGGAGAATTAATAATGACAGGTAAAAATATCATATAGTTGAGTAAAAAGGGCGCATGTAGGCAGTGAGTAGTGTTTTGTTGGCCTGTTTTCTTGTAGGCCTCGGGGTGAAGATGGCTAACGTTAACGCTCTCCCAAGAACTCAGAGCGGTGTAGACCAACAATAACATGAACAGGAGTGAACTCCGCCATTTAAAGGACGGATGCTCGTTTAATGATTTTACATCGATTTTACTGCTGTCCGTCGTCGTCCGCGATGTGAAATGACACCGTAGCTAATTGAGTCAAATTTGGTCAATGCGGACTTTGACTTTGAAGCCGGTTATATTCCAGCATATGAGGGAAAACATCCGACCGCTAAGTCCAACATCGCGCTAAAATTCACAAGAAGCGTTTTAACGCTGCGTAAGGATCTGTGGACCTCGAGAAAAAAACAAACAGTACGACAGCCGCCAACTAAATCCGCGGGAAACCACAAACATGGCGACGCTGCTCCAGTCTGGATCTGAATCGGAGTTGTGTCGGCCATTTAACTATAATCTTCAGTAGAGTTGGGATACAGCTGTTTTCAAAGTCAGCTCAGTTTATCACTCTAATTGACGGCTGATTTTAGTGTTTGTGAAGATCGAGAAACAGTCTGTTTGTTTAGGGGTATCTGAATGTTCCTCAAATTAATGCCCTGTTAAATGTTCCCCAATCCTGTGTGGCAAAACGCACCCAAAAGCAAATCTAAACTGCCCTAATTCCCGACTTCCATAAGTGCTAATAATAAGTGTCCACAGCTAAAAGCCACCGTCAGGAATCTGCCATTGGTGGCCAAAAACGAGATTCTCTTAACGTTCAAGTGTGGCTGGTTTTAAGTTTGACAAGGTCAACAAGTTTGCCACTATGCTTGGTAGCCCCTTGTAGTTGGAACTACAGCACCCCCTTATGCCTAAAATTGTCTCCCAACTGTATTGTTTATGAAAAAGAATATTATTTATTGTTAATCAATTTTATTTGATTTGTATTGTTCCAAAATGTACACATTTTATACACCCCTGTTATGCAGGATATATGTAAATCTAATATTCAAGCAACTGTATTTTTCACATGTAATGTAATACGTGTACATGTATTTTATGAGCATTCAGAAAGCACACAGTACAACACAATATGGTGTAAGTATAGTTTGCATTAGTAAACAAGCACCGATGTTTTTTCTTTGTTTTTTTTCTTTGTTTTTAATGGTTAGTGGAAGTCTGGACACAAAGTCCAGCTAGGTGTCCACTAGACTCAACTTTTCTTACTTCCATAGTACACACTTATAACTTTTAATAGAGACCCAGGTTGAAGCAAAAAAACTGTAGTAGGCCTAAATACAGAATTAAAATAAAATATAAAAAAGAAAACATTTTATGTGAGGTTTTAAAGTAGCATATAATTACAGTGTAATAGATTCATTTTTTACCCCAGTTAGTTTCCCCCCATAGCAAATGACATTTATTAAAACGTTTTTGAGTTTAAACCAAACTGACAATGTAAACTTAATCTTAGATTTTTTTCAATCTTAGAAGTTTTTGTTTGAAAAAGTGGACCTTTTTATCATTTTTTTCTGAATGTACATTTTGTTTTTAAATTATAAGCTTACTCCCTAGGAACTGTTTCAGATGTTAATTTAGCGATCACAGTTATTTTGTGTAATAGTTGCTGTATTGCAGTGCAGTTTATCGTCTTACACTGAGATAAATGTCATTACTGTTACAGCATCAAATGACCACCCATGTACTGTGATTAGTTTATATCGTTGACGAGTCAGTGGTTACCATTCCTAGATCAGTGTGAATTAAAAAAAATGCCCATTATGAGAAAAACATGTTAACGTTTATGATTTCTGCCATTTGCTTTAATCTAAATTACTAATAGTTAATATGTATTTAGAGTTTTTCTTGGCTCAAAATGAGGCGGAATTAGTACTTTCCTGATTATGCGCACACAAGTACACATGTATCATGTTTTCAACTGGCTTAAGAAAACACTTTTTACAAGCTGCGCATTTTAGGAGTTCTGATAATTATGGAACAACAAAGTATTCAAAAACATCATTTTAAACAACTGTTTTAGATTAGTATTTTTTAACTTACCCAGGGCTGAACTAGGATAACATTTTTATTGAGGTCCATTTTGTGCAAAAATGACCTACATCTAGCAGTGACTAAAATAACTGCCAAGTATGTGTACTACACCAGTTCGGTTTTTCTTTTAGATTTTTAAACCAAATCATTGCTCCTTTTTTAACCCATCAGTGATTGTGTTTTCCTTTCGTTTGTTCTTTTTCCATCTCTCCCGTCTTACATAAACTGCTATTACTGTTACATAAACTCACTACCCTGATTGATTTTATTTAATTGAATCATTTTATTTAATTAAATCATTTAACATGTTATTTTCAATACATAAATACATGCTGAAATCTTTCCATACTAATTCCAGTGTTAGTTTAACTAATTGTGTTGCATTTCATCTCAGTTTCTGTCTCTTTTGCTCTCTTGTTCTCTGTCCTCACAAATTAGGCATACATTAAAATATTTTATAAAATTCTGTCTCTACTGAACCCCAGCAAATGGGAAGGAAGATACTCATACAGTTAACCAGGCAAAATGCAGCCAAATGTATCTGCTGAATATGCTTACTGTAGTGTGTCATGAGTGGGTAACACAATACAACGTTGAACAGCCATTAATTTCTCCTTTAATAGCTAATACAGCAATTACGGAGCCTGTAGCCTAAACTAAGCAGCTACTGGAACTCGACTAAAGCACATTGATTATGTGCAGTGTTACTAGTGGTCTAAATATAAAAAAATAAAGTTAAAGGGTCAGCATTTTACAGTCATAATCTGTTAGTTACCCTCATAATCTCTCACATTTTTATCATAGCTATGTTGTATGTTAGACTGTGTTATGTGTGCTGCATACCTGGAGCGTTTCATCTCAAGAAGTCAAGAGTTGCTCTGGATAGCATTAGAATGGCAACTCGTACAGAGATAAACACATTGAGCACTTCAGTCTATGGCCAAACCACAGCTGCTGATTGTGTAGTCTCGTCGCTGTTTCCCGAGGATCTCAGTGTCCTTATGCTAATTCAAACATGGCGGGCGCTGATAACGAACCAGCTTGATGCAGTTGCAAAGAACAACGGTTGCTAAGCAGTGATTGGAGAGCTGAGAAAATAAGGTGGAGCGTGGCTTAGAGCATAATGGTATGACTGACCATAATACAGAGACAATGCTCGCAGAAAACAAAAATAAATGCAGCATAGTAGTTATTGTTTCCCTATTGGATTGGGTAAACTTGTAAGGGATGTTTCCACATCAAAAATCATGCATGAAGATACATGAAACATCCCTTCTGAGTCTTTGAAACTACCAAGGTCTCGACCTCGGTGTCCTCATAGCTAGTTACAGCCATGCTTTTACTGCTGCTCCAGTTTTGGCAGTGCCTTTTCCTGGTGCACTGTGCTGAGTATGGTACAGCGCCACCACATGGCATAATGCCACAGTTGCAGTTTCAAGTGACAGAAATCCACTGAATGCAGTGCTTGTTAGAAAATAGTTTTCCATGAAGACACCTGTCAGAGTTTTGTTCAGAGCTAGAGGCGGCCGCCTTCTGATTCTGTATGCAAGGAAAACCCTGGTATTCTTTTACTTTGGTATATGAGGTACTCAAACTAATTACGCAAGTCCTTATTGCTAGCTAGACAATGTGAAGAAGCTTAAGTGACATAGAGTAAAGCTAGAGATTTAAATATGAGAGTTCACTAGCTCATTTGCAAGTAAAAGCATGTGACTTTGATTTAATGTATAGGAGCCAATTGCTGAGTGATACACACTTTGGCTTAGTTAATTCTGCATTAACTTTTTTTGCTTAAACTTTTCCCTCACAGTATCCAGCAGAGCGTTAATTGAAAAGCAGCAGACGATAGTTCTTTGAAACTTAGATATTGTTTCATGGTGTGATTGTCATTGTCTAATGTAAGAGTTTGTACTCACTCATATAAAATAATTTTAAAAATCATTATGAAGTTTGTAGGCAATGCAAAAACTAAGTAGACCCTAGAGTTAAATCAAAATTCAAAATTAATAAAATAGTTCAGCTAAATTGTTCAGTGTCATTAGACTAAATGTTCTAAGTACGATGCTATATAAATTTTAATTTCAGTGAATATCAGTGGCCATGTGCAGATCGTGGCCCAGACCTTAGTTCTGTGAAAAGACATTAACTGTACAAAATGACCGTGCGCAACCACTTCAAGAAAAAAAAGCTACATTCACCACCTTTATGTTGTCTCTGTCCTACTCTTTTTTTGTCTTCAGCTTACACTGTAAATAAGATATAAATACGTGATGTTATGTTTCACTGTGGTATAAATATTGATGTTGCTTAATATACTTCAGCATTTGGAAAATCAGACATGAGACAAAAGGCAGTGGCTATTAAAAATCTCCAATGTTGTTGCAGTCATTAAAAGTTTTTAAAAACTGGAACTGTGGTGAATGTGCTTGTAAGAAATCACATATGCAGTGAGGAAGATGTGTCCAGAGAGACAAGGCTCATAGTTAGATAGTTCTGGAAGTTGGTTGCGTTGTGGGGTCCCAAACTACAATATGATGCCACCACCACATATTTAACAAATATTTGAAAGGCTCTCTGGTCATCAAGTGACATAAGTTTCCTAATCCTTCCCGGAACTTTGCAGCTTTGAGTAAAACTGCATTCTGTGGTCAGACATGAAAAGAGGCTGATTTGGTATAAATAGGCAAGGTTGTGCAGATGAGGACCTAACCCCCATGGTGAAGTATGGTGGTGGATCTGTGATGCTGCAGGTTGTTTTTCTTCTAAAGGCCCTGGGAATCTTGTTTGGATGCATGATTTCAGACTGTAGGTTAAAAAATCTGGCTACAACTGGGTCTTGGTTCTAAATATTCAGAAACATATTTTCAAATCCACAAAAATATAGTTTACTACAAAAATTAAGCTTCTGAAGTGGCCGTCTCAAATGCCATTGAAAACCTGTGGAGTCTGAAGAGGAGACACCACAAGCAAGAACGAAGAACTGTGGAGAGAGCTTGTATGGAGGAACAGTCTCGCATCCCTTTACGTGTTTTCCCATCTCATCCACAGTTATAAGAGAAGATTAGTCCTGTTGTCTGGGCATAGGGAGGGTACACAGTGTATCAAAAGCATGTTGCTCATCTTGTTTTGTTTTGGAGACTAGCATTCTATATTTCGTTACAGCAATCTAATGAGATACAGTAATCAATGAATAGCAGTTAGCAGCGGTCAATAACCCTTTTTGGGAAAACGTAAGTTTTGTCATTAATGATTGTGATGTTTTTGAGAGAAATGTTTATATAAAGATTTTGGGTATTTGAGTAATCTTATCTTACTGAACGACTTGGTTTAGCTCATTAGTGTAATCCGATATACAACAAATATCAGATTTAGTCTTTCTCATTTGCTTTCCTAGTGTCAATTCAGGAATAATTCTGGAATGTGCTGTAGCTAAACATGGTGATGATGTTTTGAAATGACCGTGCACAAACATTTTTTGATCAAACTTTTTTTTTTTCCGTTTCTGATGAAGGATGTTGAATGACCAGACATAGCCTGAGGTAAAGGAGTCAGAAGCTCTTCAGATGACTCCTTCACTCCAATGGCCATCACAGAAAAGCAGGCCATAATGGTGATTCACCAGGAGGGCATGACCACATCTGCACCTCAGGCTTCTTCTGCTCGTTCCCTTTTTGTTGTCCTCAAACCGTTACATCCTGGAGGCGGAGGTCAGGACGAAGGAGCTCTGTTGGCTACTAAGGAAGCCAGTCCTTTGAGGACATCCGCTGTTGGCTTTCAGAAATTAACGTCCATGTCCTTGTCAGCTATGGCAGGCGCAAACAGCAGTAACCAACTATGGAATTTGCCAGCAGAGAGTACATGTAAAGGCATTACTGTCACTTTGGACAACAATAATATGTGGAATGAGTTTTATAGATGTCAGACTGAGATGATCCTAACTAAGCAAGGTCGTAGAATGTTCCCTTGTTGCCGCTTCCGCATTTCTGGGTTGGAGCCTTTCCAGCGGTACACATTAGTAATGGATATGCATCCAGTAGATAACCACCGGTACAAGTGGAGTGACAGACGTTGGGAGACAAACGGGAAAGGTGATCCACATATTTTGAGCTCCTTTGTACACCCTGAGTCCCCTGCTACTGGCCTTGATTGGATGCAAAACCCTGTTTCCTTCTACAAACTGAAGCTCACCAACAACCCTTCGGACCAAGAGGGCCATATTGTTATAAACTCTATGCACCGATACCTTCCCCGTCTTCACATTATACCTGCAGATAAGGCCACAGATGTAGTTCAACTAAATGGACCTGATGTTGTAACCTTTAGTTTTCCTCAGACAGAATTCTTTGCTGTCACAGCTTACCAGAATCTATGCATCACCCAGCTTAAAATTGATTACAACCCTTTTGCAAAGGGTTTTAGAGATGATGCTACCAACTCCCGATCCTGCAAGCCCAAAACCGGACTTTCCACTGAAACCGTGGATAGTGAAGTTAAACCCAGCAGAGAGACTACAACCCTGAATAATCTCAAGACCTTGTTTGCCAAGAGGAGTGCTGCCGAAAAAGTCCTCAAAGTACAATCTCTGCCTGCCCCAAACGATGAGAACCTAAAAGCAGTTAACGGTGATGCTCCCGTAAATGCTGAGCTTGAGAAAACTTCAAGGTAAGCATTTTAATTGTTTTCAGAGCATTAGTTCTCAATATTTTTGTCTTTTATCGCTTGTTATATGCTAATCTTTTAGGGATGGGTTCCCAGATTCCACCTAATCCTAGCCTAAAAAGAGTGATTCACCACTGACACTGCAGTTTAGTCCAAGACTATGTGTAATCCATGTTGGAATAACCAACCCTGAAGGCTATGCTGGGCATGTCCTGCGTATGGTTGCTTTAACGTTCTATAGATTTTATTTCTACTGTTCATCTAATACTAGAATTAAAGGTGATGATAACTGATACAGCTAATCATAACTTGTGTTCTGGCACACACTCACGCATAGTTATTAGTGATGGATGTTTTTCTGCTTCTTAAACTCACTGAAATGGATAGTGTAGTGGATAATCAATAATGCCAAAGTCTATACCAGACCCAGTCCCAGATGATTGGAAGTTTGATTGTCTGTCCAGGCAGGAAAGCCACAACTTCAAATCCTTGAGCAAAACTCCTAATGCTACACTCACAAACCACTAGAAGTCACTCGAGAGAAGCGCGTTTGCTAAGTGTGAAATGTTTACAATTTTGTCATGTTTCATTCAGTTACATTAGCACGGCAGTGTAAAAGTAATTAGTGATCCCCCTTCAGAGTTTTAACTACAGATTGCACTGCTCTGGCACCCACTATCTGTCTGACTAAGCAACTGACTTAAAAAAAAGACATTCTCACTTCTGTATTAATCATTGTGTTTTTCTATATAGAGTCTTTGAGCAGTTAGTGTATGATAATCTACTTTCAGTTAAAAATATTTAATTTTAAAGAAATAAAATTGTGTCTGTACTAGAGATGAAACGATATTACAATTTCATATCACGATTATCATGACCAAAATTATCACGATTATCGATATTATCGCGATGTTGTTCAAACGTGTTGAAAAGTAAAATAAATAAATAAATAAATAAATAAATACTGATACATAAACAGAAATTCATTTCACCAAATCTTATATTAACACAAATAGAATTGGCAGCAGTATGCACTTTTTGTTTGTCATCATCATCATCATCATCATCGTTAACCGCTTAGTCCAGATAGGGTCGCGGTAGCAGTTGGGAGAGCAGAGAATCCCAGGTGACCCTGTCCCCCGCAACTTCCTCCAGCTCATTCCCGGGGACCCCAAGCCGCTCCCAGGCCAACTTGGAGATATAATCCCTCCAGCGGGTCCTAGGACGACCCCGGGGTCTTATTCCGGTAGGCCGTGCCTGGTACACCCCCACCGGGAGGCGTCCCGGGGGCATCCGGATCAGATGCCCGAACCACCTCAGCTGGCTCCTCTCAATGCGGAGGAGTAGCGGCTCTACTCCGAGCTCCTCCCGGATGGCCGAGCTCCTCACCCTATCAAATAGAGTGTAGCCCGCCACCCTGCGAAGAAAGCTCATTTCTGCCGCTTGTATCCGCGATCTCATTCTTTCGGTCATTACCCACAGCTCATGACCATAGGTGAGGGTCGGGATGTAGACCGATCGGTAAACAGAGAGCTTCGCCTTACGGCTCAGCTCCCTCTTCACCACTACAGTCCGGTACAGCGACCGCATTACTGCTGCCGCTTGTCCCAGCGTTTTTGTTTGTATAAACATTAAAAAATAGTCAATACATTTGTAGTATTACTTTTGTATTACTTACAATACTTGTAATACTCTGTAAACAAAAGAATAGCAAATGTATTATTATTATTACTGATGTTATTGTTATTATTATCATTACTGTTATTATTACTGTTATTACTATTATTATTACTGTTGTAATTATTTTATTATTATTAATATTAATCACAATAACTAGGGATTTCCCTGCATAGAGAATTAAATCTGGACCAACTCTGAGGTGGGTCTTAATGGAAAATTACTACTTCTAAGAAGTGCTGCACTCGGGGGATTTCTGTCCGAACTGCAGTTGCAGCATTATTGTGCCGTTGTGGCGCTTTACCCCTAATCAATACAGTGCACCAGGAAAAACAGCCAAAATCACAGAGGAATTGCGTGACTGTGCTGTGAGCTGCAGACAGTGTAGAACTCACACAGCGTGTCTTCACCTGTGGAGCTGCTTCTCTAAAAGCATTTTAAAACTAAAACATAGCTTAAAATTGACATACATCTGAGCTGCGGCAGAAACACTCCTAAAGTTTAATCTCTGAAACTGCTTTTCCTAAAAGCAGCACACAGCGTTTACTCGCACAAGGTCCCGTCTCAAAGCACACTGTCTTCCCTATGTAGTGCACTTCATGGATAATGAAGTAGCAGATCCTTCACCCAAAGAGTGCATGAAATGTTCACAATATCAATATATTAACAATAGGTTACAAATTCCCTATTTATAACTCAGTTGCTTGTTATGATGATCGTGTTTGTTTGAAAAGTAGCGCCCTCTGTAGGGGACATTGAGTGATTTGAGACGTGTTTGAGAGGTTTTATCCTCCTCTCAGACAGTAAACACTGCAAGCGAGACGAGAAAGGGGAGCTGTGCAGATTGAACTTTTGCAGCATCTCATTCCAGAGCTTGTGTGACTGTTAACTCAGAGCTCATTTTGGAGACTCTGCTCCACAGAAATACGTGTTAAAAGCTTTAGTTTTGATTCACAGTTGATTCACCGTTTTATTTTTTTTTTTTTATTATTAATGAACCATAAGCATAAGTTAAACCACACAAACTGTGACATTTCTTCTGTTTCGAAGTCCCCACGGACTTCTACGTTGAAGTTAACCTTGCATTCTCTAAAAACTAGCGGGTGGTGGTCGTGAAGATGACTCGTAAGGTTGGATGTGTTGCCCCCTTTCGCCGCTTTTTTCTTTCAGCCTGTTCTGCAGACAGGATGGTCATCTTCAATTAACTTTCCTTCTGCATCCTTATAAAACCCAAAACATGACCAAACGTCAGACTTGGTCTTCTTAGAAGGCTGAAATATCTCTGAATCTCTGTCACTACATTCCGCCATGTTCTCCCTTCTCTCCCTCTCACTCTCTCCCCCTCTTCCCCTCCCGCGTTTGGCTGTCCAGTGACGTTGCGTGAGGGCAGTTCAAAAAGAAGCGGTGGTTGGCTTCACAGGTCTCTGAGGAAGCCTGTGTTAGCCTTCACCCTCCTAGCGTTGATAGCATTGTGTGATTGGGGGAGTCCTAACTAGCGGGTGGAATTGGAGACGACTAAATTGGGGAGAAAAAAAAATAGTTTGAATATTTACCTTAATACCAGGCAATATTAGTCCAATGAGTTATAACATACTTTCATATCTGAATTCAGTCAAGTCAGGCAAGTGTCTGACATAGTAGATTGGTTAGTTATTGTTTTGATGAACTTGTTTTGTTTGTTAGAAACATCAAGCTGGCTACTTAAAAAGAAATTGATATAGCTTTGTATTTGTATGGATTTTATTACATTTGTTCAAGTTGTTTTAATTTAGAGACCTGTATTTTTATTATCTCAACAGCAAGAAGCGCCCATGGCCAGAGGGGCTGTCTGAGTTGATTAAGGGTGCTCATGTTAAGGTAAAGAGAATATCCCTTGAGAAGCTTCATGATGGCAGTGACCAGCAGATGGCCAGCAGCTCTTGCACTCTGCCTGCAGGAAAGCAAAAGAAAGATGCTGCATCCAAGGACTGCAAAATGGAAAACGTTTCAGTCACAGCTATAAACAAGGAGGAAATGGAAACCGAAAAGAAGCCAAAGAAAGGAAGTGGAACTGTTGATGTCAGAAATATTGTTGACGCAGAAGGGCCAAAAAGTGCCAATACAGTATCAATCTCAATAGCCACGAACTCATCCACCATAAAAAATACAAACATGCAAATGAACTCCTCTGGTATAGTTATTTCAGATACATCCATAAATGAAAGGGTGGACACAGCATTGAGTGAAACAGCCACAAAAACAGATGGTAGGGACACTTCACAGTCTTTAGTCAAACCTCCTGACTGTAGAGGAGAAGTAAAGAAGAAGCGGGCTGAGCCTGTACCTTTACCTCTTCTTGCCCTATTTCTACAGCAGTTGAAGTCAAAAACAAGACCCACCAGACCGAAGTCAAAATGTGAAACTTCTGGTTCACCTTCACACACAGATAAATCCTGTAAAATCTCAGTTGCTGAAAACGTACCTCCCACTACAGAATCCTTTAGCCCCTCTCTTACCACACAATCAAATGCACAACCAGTAGCGTCTGTAATTTCAGAAACAGTCACCTCATCCATTTTAACATGCACTGTGTCTAACGCCATAGTATCTCCATGCTTGTCGTTATTACCCGCTACATCATCCTCTACATCACTGATTACATCCCCCACATTACCAGACATGCCTTCACCTTTGAAGCCTTCTCCTCCCCTAGTTGACCCTGCCCAAAATCCTGACCCTGTTCTTGCTGAACATAAAGCTGCCTCAACACTAGATTCTGACACTAGTATTGTCACTACCCCCACAGCAGTTGCTGTTTCTGAGACTATGCTTGTGTCCAAGCAACAGGATGCACCTGTCACTTTGTCTGCATTTTCAGATAATACTGTACCCAACAGCTTTCTTTCAGTAACTACACCTGACAATAATGTTGTCTCAAATGCTGATGCTCCCAGTGCCATTTCTTCCAGCTCTCGTCCTAAGACATTTCCTGTTACAATATCTGACAGTCCAAAAGATGAACTTGTTTATAGTAATGTTGTTACCGCTGAAACGGACTTGGACTCCTGTACAGACCCATGTGCTGAATTTGTTCCTGAGGCTCCTTATCAATCCCCTTTGTCAGATGACGATGACATCCCATTTTCACCATCATCTCCACCATCCACGGAGTTCTCTCTACCAAGCCCTGCTCCTTCATCACCTGACCCATTTCCACCAGGACTGTTTTCTGATCGACCAATACCTCCTAGAAAGTCACTTGACCCGTTTCCATCTGGTCTGTTATTTGATAGACCAAGACCCCTTGTGGACTCATTTGACTCTTTGCCCCGTAGCATTTTTTTCACTAAACCATCACGTACTGGAGAATCAGAGCCAACAACTGAGAGTGTCAGTAGCGAGGTGACCTGTTCACTTGCCCCTGACCCTTGTATTCCAACGGAAACCGATCAGTCCTTACAAGAGAGTACAACCAGGAAGACCAAGGTGAAACCCAAGAAAGGTGGAAAAATTAAAGCTGAGTGAGGATGCAGAGGTTACTGAAGGCCCCGTACCTGTCCCATTGCAGCCCAACCTCGAGGATGTGGAGGGCCAGTTGTTTGTTTCATTCATGTCAAAGGTAACTTGGAGTATTCTTAGTTCCACTTTATTTTTTTTGTAATCAACTAATGTTGCCTCATACCAGTGCTTATGATTTTTAACTTGTGAACAGAAAGCTCTTGAAATTCATCTTGGGGATGAAGCTAAAGAAGAAACTTCACAGAAATCCACAGAAAACATAAATGGTAAATAACAAAAGCATTGTCTTTTGTTTCACCATACAGTAATTCCCTATCTTTCTGTATTTTTGATGTTCAGCTGTATTTTCTTTCTTATTTTATGAAACAGATGAAGATCCTCAAAATACTCAAGAAAGAATTGATGCACTTGAGAAGGACCTTCTACGTGACTTAAAAATTATGAAGCACAGACAGGTCATCCACCCAGTGCTGCAAGCAGGTACAAGATAGAATTTTCTTGTGTAACAAATTAACATTTGAAATGCGATGATGACTTTGAAGTCATTCTGACCATAAGCTTTAATTTAAGGCATGGTTCCATCTCAGGTGAACCATGTAGGACTTCTAGATGCTTTGTGTTGTCCTCTTGTTGTAAGGGAGGCTAGGTTTGTCTTGGCCAGCTAGCCTATGTATGCAACATTATTTTAAGGAGAAGAAGGCTACGGAAAAGTCTAAAGTAGAGATGAAACAGTATGAAAATTTAATATCATGATTATGGTGACCAAAATGATCACAGTTATCAGTATTATCACGGTACTGTTAAAATATGCTGAAAGTGTTTAAAAACAACTTGTATACAAACTGAAATTATTTCAGCAATTTTATATTGAAAACCACAAATAAAATTATTAAATTTTTAAAACTATGTACTTTTCGTTTGCATGAACATTAAAATAATAATATAACCAATACTCTATGTAAACATATATGAAAACCATATTAAATGTGCAGCAGTATTAAAGGTGGCACCATGTGGCCATGAAAGGTTCAAACGGTTTAAACATGACCGCGTTCTTTTGTTGCATTTTTAATGTTAATTTAGTAAAGACTCTGCTTAACGTTACTACTACAAAATATTCTAATTATTTTTTTAATGCTCGTAAACTTTTTGATAAGCACATTTAGACTATCACACACTACTTGCAGTTTTATTACGAGGCTGAAGTTGGCTTTCTATTCGCCAGTTTCTTGTTCAAATTTTCCTGTTCTGCCTTAAATAGCGCAGCAGTTACATTCGGGCACCTGAGGCATTATAATAACTGTGGCACCATTTAAGGTGGAAAGGAAAAAACTCAAATAAGAATCTGACTTCAGATTTGTAGTTTTAATGCTGGTAGGTTTTTAGATTAAAGTGACTTAAGCTATCAAAATATCCTACCTGGAGTTATATGTGTGGAGCTACCTATAAATATGCACTACAGTAGGACATTTCGACAAGAAAACACAATTTGTCGGAACACATTCACTATAAAGTGAAGGTGGAGGTCACGAGATAAATTATAAGATTTTAACTTTTGCCCCCCTTTCACAGCAGTTTTCTTTCTGCATGTTCTGCAGACAGGGTAACCATCCTCAGTCAAAGTTTCCCTCTGCACGCTTAAAAAAAAAAAATACAACCACACGTCAGACTTGGTCTTCTCAGAAGGCCAAAAAATTCTCTGGAGCACTGTCACTGGTTTCCGCCATGTGCTGCCCCTGCACACCTGCATCTGGAAGACTGTTGCTAACATTGGTTAATGCTGAACATTATTTAATGGGAGTTTTTCAAAGCGCAGTAGTTGACCACAGTTTTAATGACAATGAAACTGTGAGACGATAATACTATCTGGAATTTTGCAGTGGTTTACCATGAAAGTGGCAACCGTTTCATCATTAGTCAAGAATTGATTGTAGATATGATTTTATGGGGTACAGGAATAGTTCTCTGAGAATTTAAGGGTTGTGAATTTTTGTAGGGACAAATTTAAAACTGCCATTAGAATTCAAAAGTTTTCCATATGCAAACCAGTTGCTTAGAAGCTGTCAAGATGATATACATTATACTTGATTGTTTGTAGCATTCAAATTTTTAAAATGATGGAAATGATGAAAATAAACTTCACTAAGATCACAAACTCCCACTTAAATAAAGTGATAATATTGATATATTACTTGCATTTTTTTAAGTGCATATTATGTTTACAGTTGGCCTGAAGTTGAACCTGTTGGATCTTACTCTGGCCATTGATCTGCAGTATCTGGGTGTGTGCTTACCTATTCCTCCACCTGTCGTCTTACCTGGGGAAAGCTCTGGGAGTTCAACCTCATCACAGGGTGAGTAACAAAACAGTGAAATGCCTTCTTTAGTTATCAGCCTATATATCATACAAATATGTCAGTGCTTATGCTTATCATTATTCTTGGGCTTTCCAGTCCAGTTTGTGTCTAGGACAGGGAAAACAACTGACTTCACTAAAATCAAAGGCTGGAGAGATAAATTTACCACTTCAAGCTCTTCAACTCTTCCTGGAGGTGTGTTTTTTTTTATCTTGTTAGAACTGATGTTAATTTACTAGCTGGTAATTGATTTGTAACTACCCTCTAAGCCTATCAAAACTGTTTAAATGACTTACTTGAGTAAGTAAATAATCTCAGGTTATGTATTGTGCTCAGTAGGTACCAGCTCAGATGCAGGGCAAAAGAATCTTTCTGCCTTCTGCAGTGACATGCTTGACGAGTATCTGGAAAGTGAAGGCAAGCTCATTGATGAACGAGCTGCCAGCTTCTCCCAGGCAGCTGTCACTCCTGTGGCCTACCAGCTGCCCACTAAAAGCACAAGCTATGTTCGTACTCTGGACAGCGTGTTAAAAAAGCAGGCACCTCCATCCACAACAGCATCCCTTAAACCTTCCTTGGCATCAAGAAAATTTACCCTGTCATCTAAAAGCAAAGAGATTGCCAAGTTAGGGGAAAATGGATCAAAGAAATCCAAATATGTTGCAGCAAAAACAGCCTCCAGCACAGACAAGCCATCAAGTACATCCAGCAAAGAAGGCCCCAAGGTAGAAGAAAACTCCTCGAAGAAATTTGCCAAATCTGGTGCTTCAAAACCTGTATACAGTGAGCCATCAGCTCCTTGTAGCGTATGCCCAAGCAAAACATCTGCTAAAATTAAGACCAGGAAAGGATCCAAGACCTCACAAGCATCTTCACTACCTGATGGAAAGCCTGTTGTGAATAGTATGTCGATGGCAACTGTAGGCCAGGACTCTACTTCTAGTACCCCTGGAGGACGCATTACAGGCCTGTCCAAGACTCTGGTTAAACTCCTGGATTTGGAAGATAGTGCTGTCTGGGAAGGGAAACGTCGTACTTGCATCACTGAGGAACGGGCAGCCATTGCTTTATCCTCCCTTGTCACAGCAGAGGTATATGTTAAGCAGTTTGGTCCATAATATTTGCATCTTTGAAGCTGCTTTCTTCAGCCTTACTGATCTGGGGTCTGTCTCACGCTTTTGCTCTCAATCTTTCTCTACTTTCTTTGTCTCTCTGTCTCTCTTTGTCCCTGATTTCAGAGTCCTGTAAAAAGCAGCCCTTCTACCATCATTAGGAGGCGTGCTCCACCTTGCCTCAATGACTTTTGCAGACTGGGTTGTGTATGTACTAGCTTGGCTCAGGAGAGGCGCCAGCACCACTGTGGCAAACCGCAGTGCATGCTTGGCTGTGACTGCCTTCGACGCAAAGTAGTCCTGTTGAAACACTCTAAGGATGAGGACTCGAAGAAGGATCTTATAGCTCAAGGTCAGCCAGATGAAGATGAAACTGAAATGTTAAAGAAAAAAAAGAGGAGGAAAGCCTATAGTAAGTATACCTACATCAAGTTGGATGTATTAAATGGAAAGTTATGTCTAATTTTGTAACTTTCTCTAAAAAAAAAAACAGTGGGCATTGTTCATAATTCATATTGTGTCCTTGTTCTGCAGTTCTGTCAGGTCCTGAATCAGCACCTGAGCCAGCCACACGGGTGAAAAGACTATGGGATCAGAAAAATGAGGCTGATACAGAGTGTCTTTTCATTCCTACACCTGCCAGGCCTCTTCGTCCTCCACTCTTATCTCCGGAGCTGCAGCAAGATTTGGAGAATTTTCTCCATCCTTTGCCTAATAAAGTGGTGAGATTCAATTCCATTCTAAAAACACATTGGTGGTGTTAGCATAACCCATACTCATAATCAAGTGTCATACCTTGAATTTAAGCTACGCATGATAATAGTAATTGCACTTATCCATTTAGGAGAGGCTTTTACTAAGGGTTAGGTTTTTGTGGAATATTCAGCATTTCTCATTTTACATCTTATTTATTTTATTTTTTTTCCCCAGTTGAATGATGGAGGGCTGAAGTTGACCAAAGGCGGTAAGCAGAGTTGTGCTCGTGTGAGGCCATTTTGCAGGACAAATCAGTGTCATACTGGACAACAGAGCAAAAAGGTGAGAGTTTAATATGGAAATGGTAGTATTAAATATATGAAATATATGAAATATTTTGTTGAAAAAAAAATAAATTACTTGTACCTGATAAAGTTTTTATTGTTTGAAGCAGGGTGATCCACATCTTGGTCCAGAGGACTCCCTAGAAGGTCAGTATGCTCTGGCCAAAAATGTAACCATCTCTACATCTGTTGTAAGCATGCTCACTTGGGTCTTAGTGCTCCCGCAGTAGTCTCTAGAGTAAAAGTTTCTGGTTAAAAGGCTTGGAGACTTCCCTTGCAATGGTGTTTCTTGAAGGTGGGAGGAACGTCTGGAAAAACTACAACTGCTTTGGGTTTAATTTTCATGGGTGGGCTGTTAGAAATGTCTTTTTTTCTTTCTGTTAGCCGGTGAATGCAGAAGAAAGGAAGCCAGGTGGCTATAGTGACTGCTAGGAAGCCAGATATCTTGCAACTGTATAACTGTGGTAACTGTCTTCAGATCATCTTTACATTGGTTAGAATGGATCACTCAAATGACAGAAATGATTACCTGACTATCTAGATACCTTATTTCAGTTCAGTTTCTTTTTACTGACTGAAAGGGTTGAAAATTTCTGTTGTCCATTTGATGTTGAATAAAGATAGAATTGCTGTTCTTGTTGTGATTTCGTTTGGTGATCGAGGTAAGAGAATATTTATGCTAGCTTGGTTGTAGTTAAGCCTATAGTTCAGTGGCTAGACGAGCAGTCAGAACTGTTTGCCACCACAGGGATTTCCAGTGGTTGTGTAATTAATCGGTGTGATGCATGCTGGGTATTGTAGTAAGAGAACACTGATGGATGAAAACATGAATGATATTAAATTGTCAATTCTGTCAAACATAGATACTGAGTGAGTATGCTGCACTACAGAACACTGCATAAAACAGCAAATTACATATTAAACTTTTGTTTTAGGCTAGATTGCCCTCTTAAGACTGAATGTTGTATTGATTGCAAATTATTTGGTTCTAAAACCATCACTGAATCGTCTTGTGGGCTTCCATGTTGCAGATATGGAGGAAGGAGAACTTCGGCCACCTGTTCTGTCTGGCCCTACCAAACGTCTAGAAATTGTATCCAAGTGCAAGTGGGCAACAGCAGGCAGCAGGAATGTTGTCCTGCGTGTGGTTTGTGAGCATATGGCTCAGGACCGCCTGAACCACCCTTTCTGGGTCGGAAAGTACCACATCCAGCCCATCTCCACGACTGTCCAAGAGACGGATGAAGGATCCACAATCACATACAAAGTTTCCATCTCTCAGCCCAAGCCTGTTAAGAATGATCAAAAGAAGGAGGAGAATGAGAAGATAAAGCAGTTGGAAGCCCAGTTGATTAAGACAATAGGGAAGAGTGAAGTAAAAGGTCTCCCTCTTCTTTCTCAAGTCACTCCTGCAGGTTTACTAAAGGCTGAGAAAAAACCTCCTGGTGCTTCAGGGCAGATAACAGTATGCATACTCTACCATTACACTGCTTTTTCATCTCTGCAAATGACAATGTAATGATTAAATGTTTCTTTTACCCTCACTCACTACTTTTTTCCGTATAGGTCAATGGAAAACCTTACCCACAAGCCAAGCTAGAATTGGGCCAGATGGGGGCTTTGCACCCGGCCAACAGATTGGCTGCTTACATCACAGGGAGAGTATGCCTGGATAACCAAAATGCCACCAAAGCTGTAACCACAGCCACCATTTCAACAACTACTCCCACAACTTCTACCACTATCACTAGAGCTGTGGCCACAACAGCTTCTGTTACCGGCACACGTTCTTCTGCTGTCATATCAGTCAAGCCCATAGGTAAGTCCCAACTGACCGAACTGATAATGTTTAACATGAAAAATACAGTTTCTTTCCGTATGCTCCAATGGATATTTTCTTTTTTCAAGAGTTTAAACTTATTTTACAGTAATACAGCATCACTGGTAATATCATGCCAAAACTTTATTTATCATGACAAATTAGTCTCAATGGAACCAGCTCTCATGAGTTTCACAATTACCTCAGCATTAGGAGTGGTCAGTCCAGGTTTCTTAGAAAATAAGACTACACCAGGTCTAAAGGAGGATCAAGTGGCATACATAATAAGTACATAATATACAGTGCAACGATACAGTGATACAGCAGTGATACAGAAATATGTTTGGGCAAATAATTTTCAAAGAAAAGTTCATGGGGAGAATTAACCTTCTCTTCAATTTGTCCCTTTGTACAGTGACCAAGCCCCCAGTGGGAACGGTCTTCACCCAGGTTGTCATCAACCATATGAACTCCCAGCAGCAAAAGCTGCCCAGCACTAGTGCACCGCAGTGTTTGAGTTCTATTAAAAATCTTATCAACCCCCCTTCGTCCTTGATGACTGGGGTCACAGGGGTCTCAGTTGTCTCTAACACACCTTCAAAAGCAAGCATGGCTTCCTGGGCACCTGCCGCCTCTGGCCCTACAGGTATCTCCAGCTTTGCTACTATAGAAAAAGTCCCATTTGCTAAAAAGCCTGTGTTTTTGTTCTCTCTTTAATGGCTTCACGCATTCTCTGTGGTCCCCAGTGCTACATACCCCATTGTCTTATTAGATATCAACCAAAGTGAAGGATATGGTGAAAATATCTCCATATTTCAGAAGATGCTGACAATTACTTTTTCTTATAGTAAGTCTTGGGCAATAGATCAGTAGAAATAATTGTAAAAACCAGCCATTTTTTCTCATTAAGTATTGCTTGTTTGAGATTTTTGATACAATGATTATGCATTTCTGTTCATAAATACAGTATTGGCAGCAGAGGCTTGAATAATTCGTTAAAAAAAAACAACAACTTGGAACTTGGAACAATACATACTTTTGCACACTAGGTGGTCAGTTGCAACTTTAACCTGCTGGAGAGAGAGGTCATCAAGCCATTTACTCAGCACAGACCAACAATATTAGAAAGCTATTTACAGTGTTAAAAATAAGGAGAGCAAGAAAGACTAAGAAATGATTCGGAACATGGAGGTCATCTGCAGAGCAGCATTGTTTGCAGTTTTTGGCTGCCAAAACAGGCAATACTACCAGTGTACAATAAAAGTTGCATGTAATTATTGATATGAAAATATATGGAAAATATATTGCAATAATATTTTTGGCCATATTGCCCAGCTCTGGTTACAGTACATACTGTATATGTGCATACGATACAAGAACGTAAACTAGGTTAATGCAGATTTCTAAGATATTAAGATTAGGTCACTGTTAGTCCAATCATGTCTGTACATATTGTTGGTGTTTTAGTTTGCTCAGCTGTAGAGTAGAGTAAGTTCCATGATGAGAAGTAACATAAATGCATGCATAGTTAAAGCCAATGGATCGTGCAACCATTTGTTTTTGTACCTTATTTATTTTCATTTAAAACCAAACACTATATAAATAATTTAATATATAAGGTGAGATTGTGGTGTTTGTAATAAAGTATTGCATATATGCAAGTATATACAAAGCTGCAGATACATTTTTTTGGCCATATGTTAATTGAGTACTTGGATAATTTCTTAATTTTCTTAATCATTTCAAGTCTTAATCACTTGTTTCTATAAATTTATGTACACAGGAAGTATAATGATCAGTTGTTGGCCTAATAGAAATGCTTCCAATATGCATTTTCAATCATGTTTTTGGTTAGATGGACCTGTCCAGGTGGTTAAAGCAGTACCAGTGTCTGGATCAATTGCACCAGTAAAGAAGACCTTTGTGTTTAGTTCTACTGGCCTACGTGCATCTGCCCCTGGTGGTGGAGTCAGGCTGATGCAGCCTGTAACATCTGCTCAACCACCAGTCCCAGGCCAGAGGATGGTGTTTCAGATGTTGAAGACAGCAAATGGAGGCACCGTGTACCGCAACCCTAGTGGTCAGCTTGTCCAATTGGTGCCCCTCAGCCAATTCAGGGCCCTCAATCCCAACTTTCTCATACCCAAGCAGAGTGAGTGTTCAAAATATATTAGGTAAACCTAGATGTTTGGATGAAAGAACAGTCTCTCATTCTGTTGCTGGCAGTTATTAGCTGAATTCAGTTAATTCAAAATTACTAATTTAAAAATTTCAGCTTTGATTTGAGGTTTGACTGTATTCTGTTTAAAGATTAAATGTGGTAAATCTGCTAAAATGTGGTAAATCTGAAAGAATATATTTTCTTTAGATCCTGTTTGCTTTACAGTGCCTGCATGTACAATGAATAGATTTTCTAAAAATACATTTTAGACCAGAATCTTATCTCAAAGCTATCATAAAACAATACCTCAGATATCAGACAGTGTATTTGTAACCATTTTGTGTAATAGCCTTCCTTGGTGTTGCTTTCAGAGGCATTAAACATCTCTCTTGTGATCAATTCTGACTTGACAGTTTTCTCTAGGATAGTGCATTTCACTTCACACCACTGTGAATTTATGTACATTTATGTCAGTGATATAATAATGTAGAACTTTTCATGGAAATTCAATTTAAAAAGAGTAAACAGTGGTCACATTTTCTTCATATAACACTTCTGCAATCAGTGATTTTAGTTTCACAGTTTCTCGATTATTTCTTTAATTGACTGATTCTCTGCGATTTTCTTTTGCAGCCACCATTGTTCGTTTTCCCCCACCTACTGCAAAGTAAACCTCAAAATGCCAGCTCTGTTTCCCCTGTCATTTCATCCATACCTCCCACCTCCACTGCACCTCTACTGCAAGCTCAGAATCTGACCCCAGTACACAGTACTGCAACCTTCAGTATGACAACAACAGTCACTTCTTCTGTGACTGTAAAACCGGCTGTCTCTTTTTCTGACCTCAAATCCACGTTGAGCCAGCCTGGTACAGTGAATATAGTCCCAGGAATTCTTAGCAATACTGCCAAAGACATTCTAAAAATTGTAACTCCAGGTGTTATCAAGGATTCAAAACATGCCAGTATCACAGAAAACTCTTCAGCATCTACAAGGCAAAGCACTTTAAACGCTGCTCCTGCAAAAGGAGGCATTGTACTGATAACAGCCCCAAGTTCCTTATCATCCCAGAATCAAGACCTCAAAAAGTCAGACAGCAACATCAAAGTCAGCTGTGTTCCAACAGAGGGATCAGAACAGGATGTTCAGTCCTCCAGCTGTTCAAAAAAGCCTTCTGATAGTGTGGTTCTGGAAGACCACTGCTATACCTTTGAAACAAAGGGAACCAGCACCTCATGTGAAAAGCCTGAAGATCCTACAGATGCCTCAAATCCTGCAAATGCCTCTGCATCAAACACACTCCCAAAAGAGTTGCTGGAATTTGGCCCTGTTGAGGAAGATGAAGAATCTGATGTTGAAGATGAAGCCCTGGGGTTTGACTTGGGTGGCGAGGCAGGACTAGATATGGAAGAAGTTGAGATCGATTCAGACTGCACAGAATTAACTGAAGACTCAGACATGTATAATGACTTCACTGAGTCCAGTGACCAGGAAGACCTCTACATAGACACTGTAAGGGATCAAATTGCATAAATCTGTGTGTGTGTGTGTGTGTGTGTGTGTGTGTGTGTGTGTGTGTGTATATATAAAAGCTTTTTTAACCGTAGTATCTTCTTAGTAATTGCTAACTATTTTACATTGAGCTGTGGTCTTACCCTTTCAGGATTCTGAAGATGGAAGGAAGAGTGAGCAGAAACGAGACAGTGTGACTGTAGAGATGCAGGATCTGCGTGGGAAGGATGATGATGAGCTGGTTGATATTGAAACATTTGAGGAGAAGGATGAAAAGAATACTGCACTACTTGTGTTGAAGAAGCGTGAAAGGTTAGGCTAATTTAAATACATTTTTTTTTACTTTTTGTTGTGCAAGTGAAAATGATAGGTAGTTGTTTGGTAGCACTTAGCGGAGTTTTTATCATGGAACATTCAAAACATTGAACATTGAAACAACTTCAATCTATCTGAAATGTGAATGCACTAAAGACTTTGAACTTGGACTATGTTGAATGAACTGATGAATAGAACTTTTGCCATTTATTTTAGCCATCAGAGATGAACACTTTTTCTGTTTTATTTTGTTTTCCTGTAGAGGTCAGCAGAATCTAAGAGCAGAAGAGGAGAGTGAAAAAGAGTTTTTGGTACATCCGTAATACTGTGTCATATTCTTAATGTGTGGTTGTCAAGTTCTTCAGCTGTTATTCACCCTCTGCAATATCTGCATGACTGTATGAGCTTTTTAACCATGTCAAAATTTTTAGATACATTACGTGTCTTCTCTTTCTATAGCATAAGAAGAAGAAACAAGAAATGGAGAGACGCAGCACTCTAAGAGAGTGTTTTCACAAGATGCGAATGACACTAAATCTTGATGGCAAATCCTCCAAAATGACAATACTCACGCTGGTTAGTTGGACAAAACTACTGCTAGCTTTATGATAATTTTTAATGACCAAAGTGTCATTGCTTTAAGTCTAATATATCTACATATTACTACTTTTTTAGGCTCGAGAAGAAATCTGTGCTCTTATTAAACAAAGAGATCAGTTGGTGAATATGCACAAAAGGCTGAAAAAGAAGAGAGCATACTACCTTCAGCTAGCATCCCAAATATCTGGTACTACAGGTTTTTGTTTCTTTTTGACATGTATTTTCTCTTCTACAGTTTTTCTTCATAAACCCTTGTCACTTGCTAAATACAGCTGGCATAATGCAAATACTTCATCACTTTAGTCTTCAGCCTTAGGGAAACATCAGTAGTCCATTCAACGTAACTTTGTTTACTACAGTATATTTTCTTATGTAGATATGTGTCCGCACGTCAGTTCTGCATGACTCTGCTCTGACTGACTAATCTTGGACTGTTCTTTTTTCACAGGAAAGACTGAGGAGTCCATCTCTCAGAAGCTGGATGAAATCATTACAAAACAGAAATCTCTGGAGAACCAAGACAAGTCAAAAGACATGAATCTTACACCACCAGCTCCAAAGAGCATGGATTGGGATCTCATCACAAAACAGAAGAAACTGGAGTCCAAGGACAAAGTTAAAGATATCTTGCATACACATGCTGAACTATCCCCTAACTCGAAACCAGTTGACCTTAGCATCTCCAAACAGAAAGGTCTAGGACACAAGCCCATTGGAAGTTTCAGTTCTAAGAAAAAAGTGCTTGACTCTTTGGAGAAAGAGACTATTTTGAAACCCACTCAGCCAGCCAAGCCACCTAGCTTTAACACTCTGTCAACTTCACAACCCACACTACATCTGGAAAAGCCAGCTTCATTGTCACGGGAGAGAACAAGGCCCAACATTCTTTCCCGCAGCAAATCTCAAGCCCTGCCAGGGTCTCCAGCTAAAGAGCAAGGTTAGTCGGGGAAGTTGCAGTACACGTTTAATAAAATCCAAAACTCAGGTTGACACTTGCAGAATTTTGAACCATCACAGTTACTTCTGTCTCTGCAGCCTCCTAAGATGACTATATTTATAAGGTGATATGACTATATTAAAAAAAACACTGCAGCTGAATGCCACTGAATGTGGCATTCAGTAACGAGTGAACAAAACCTTTTTTGTGCTGTTTTATCTGTATTATGTGTTTTCATGCTTTATATTCTGCATGTATCTTACATCTTGTTTCCTGTGTCTTTTTTAGCATTTGTTCCTCAAGTAATTCCACTGGTGGAAGCAGTGGTGCCATGTAATCAGATCATTACTATAAGTAACCCTCTTCAGCCCATTGGTATCACATCTTTAGGTGAAAGGCAGTCAGCCACACCAGGTCAGCCCTCAAACTCATTAATTTGGTCAGTGGTCAATGACATGACATGCCTTTTTTTGTTTAGCCAAATGTATTATTTTCTTATTAAATCATTTTTAAAAACTTATTAAATTTAACCACATCACATTATTCTTTAATACCTCCTTTGTGTGTTCTATTCTTTCCAAATATGCAGATTCAGTCAATTACGGGAAAAAGATAATTTAGTCATATAAAATTCAAAATAAAATACCTTGGCATGATTTTATATTTGAAACCTGTGAAATCATAACATTAAAATATAAACATGCATCATTAGAAGAAATTGTGAATTCTGATGTCCTCAAATATCAGGCGGCACAACCACCAACAAAAGATTTTTATTCTCACATGCTTTTAGGACAGAATGAGTAGGGTATTGCCCAGTAACCCACAAAATATTATTAAATATTGAAATAAGTGTAGTTTTTGAGTCAATATTTTTATTAATGTGTGGTTGCGCCACGACATTTTCTGGGTGGAAAATTTGTATAAAAAATGTGTATCATTATAAAAGTAATGATACAAATGTCAATTCATTTGAATAGACTCTTGCAGATGCAAAAAATACACAACATATTCTTTTCAATAACATATTTTTCCATTATCATTTTGAAGAAAGCCTTATTTGTCATACATTAACAATGTTTTTCACAATTTTTTTTCCATCTGAACCAAAAAGGGGTTGCAGCTGTGTCAATATCTGTTCCTGCTATATCTCACCCAATACGAGTGGAGAATCCAGTTCCCATTTTGCAGCCTCAGGTCCTTACACTTGCCAGCAGCCCTCTAAAAATCAACTCTCCAGGTAGTTCCTGACAGTGACTGATGTATTTGTGAAAAAAAAACTGCTCAGAGTATAGAAGCATATTTTATAACTTCTTAGGTTAATGCATATACAGGCAGTCTCATACACCATTATGAATCCTCTGTGGTTTAATAATACAATTTGTAAGAAGATAAATCTTTAAGATTTCATTTTTTCTGTTTTTCAGTTAAAGCTGTAAACCTCCCCAAAATTTCCAGTGTAGTTTCTTTGGTGCCACCAGAAAAACTGCTAATCACACCACCAGTTGTTCTGCAGAAGACGGACGTTCCACCTGTTGTCCAGACACAGGCAGTCTGCAGCCCTGTGCATGTGGATGCTCTGCAGAACCCTCCTACAACCTCTTCTAATGAAGTCCCTTCTGCAGGAGAGGAACAGGGACTAGACAAACAGTCACTCGAGGACGCGTTCAAGCAGGATGATAAGGTCAAGGGAGCAGCAGATGTTACAAAAAGGCAAAAGGAAGAGGAAAAAGCTGCAGCTAACAATGAGACGGAGGTAGAAAATCTGATGTCCTTGCTTGATGAGCTTGTTTACCTTGATCAGCAGCTAAGCAATGAACCCTCCCAGCCACAAGGAGGCGCCGAGAGTCTTACAGAGGCAGGCAGTATAGAGACAGGTCTGCCTACTGAGAAGGAGCCAGGTGTGGACAGAGATGATGAGCGTTCCCTCAGCCCTTTGTTCCTCAGACTAGATGAGGATCTAATAGCATCAACCAGCTCAAAGGATGAGATGGATGATATTCCTCCTAAAGTAGATGATCTTGTAAAAGTCATATTCGGGTCTGACTCTCCTCCCAATTCATCAGAATCTGAGGTTGCTGCAGGAGCCAATGATGACAGCGCCAGTGTCCCTGGAAGCAATGTTAAAAATGATGCTCCATCACCGCCTCCGCTGATGCAGATGAAAGCTGGAGGGGGACCTGCAGCAAACTCTTTGAAAGAGCAAGCCAGTGTGTCTTGGCGGCCCATGCCCAAACTCGCTCCTCTGGGGGTAAAGACTCAAGACGCTGGGCAGCCTAAAGCTGCAAGTCCTCATGTCCTCAAGCCTAGCTCAAAACCTCCCAGTCTTCGCAGTGCACATACGTAATGACAAATTAATCAGGGATATCTGCTGTGTGTATATAGGATACATAGGATGTTTATTTATTTGTATCAGAGTGCGTTTCATCATGTCCTGCTTCAGCAAGACATGCCTGTTGTGCCTCTGGTAAACCCAAAGATGTTTACATCTGTTATTTTCCAACAGAGCAGAGGAATGTGTTTGTTTTCTGCTTCTGAATAACAGGAAAATCTGTTTTTTCCTCAATGTTCTTCCTCTTTATTTTAGAAGAGGTGTCGAGTGAATAAAAAGACAAATCTGAACGTATTTTTTGTGTGTAATCATGTCATATAATTTGTATACTGCGATCACAACTAGTAGATGAGTAGTAGTAGTAGATGGTTCTATAGGAAAATTTTAAGTTTTCAGTAGATTCAAGTATAAAAAGACAGACCTTCATAATGGAGCATGGATGTGATTAAGGAAGAATCAAAGGTACAGCAGATATTCATTTCTCCCCAAGTGTTTAGACTAACTGTAAACCAAGAAATAATACTTCAGACAAGTAGAAACAGACCAAGCTAGTCACCAGCAATAGCAACAAGAAACACTGTTCCACTGCAGCATTCAGTTGTTAATCAGTTTTACAGGGGTAGTTTGCAATGTTTCTTTGCCAGTAGTGCTGGTAAATATTTGAGGTTATCCTGCTCAGTTAGTGACAGTTGCTCTGCCATTAGCATTAGTTAGTTTAGAGTTCAGCTCGAGTTTAACCCTGAATGAGACGTGGGTTCTAACTTCACTGCTGTGTCCTTGGAAGCTGTGATTGTTACTGTGTTACTCGAAAATCACATCTGCCTCTAGATGTCACCATATCTGAGGTTTATCCTAGGTTCATCTCAAGACTGTTAGACATGATTTTACTGAGGTTAGGTTCACAATAATGTAATAAGGATGTTTTTGTATTTAGTATGTATTTTCAACAGTAATGCTTTTCAGACTTTAGGCAAGTTTTAATGAAAAGCACCTCAATGAAGCATGCCTAAATAAGTGGTGTTCAGTTTCTTTAAACAGAGCAATCAGGTTTAATTTAACATGTAAATGCAGATTAAACATTAAGTCCTTAAAGTGACCGGTTTACCTGAACCTGTGTTAAACTGAGACTAAACCACTGCTAAGCTAATGACAGCAATTGCATTTTAATGATCTAATGTAGGAGTCTGGAATACAGGCCTCACATCTCACTAAACTTTAAAAATGGACATCATAACACGTTCTAGACTTGTAGGAAACATTTGAAGAAATCTCTAATTAATTTTGAATGTTTAAGTACTTGTCCTAGGAGAATTGGGCCTTTAAGGGCATTAAAGGGCAAGACCTTTTGATTGCGTTTTGAGGCTTGCTTAGTGACCTGTGCAGTGAAGCTTCTCTTACTCAGTGAGTTTACACTTGAATACATCTGCTAATAGGAGTTCATAAACTTAAATTTACTCAAGATATAAACCACCACCTCGTAGTCTTTCCTACAGTAATGCAACACTGATAATGTAATGCAGTAATTCAAATTGTATGTAATATGAGTCTATCAACTTTAAAGCATAAACATTGTTTTTTATTTTTTATCTAACTGAAAGCACATTGCAAAGTGTCTTGAATTTTGAAAACAAACAAAAAAAGACACTGGCCTCTTTTAAGGTTGCATGCTTGTTTATTGTGTCCATAGTTTATATCTGGAAACAGACAAAATACACCCCCACCCCACACACACAATAAAAGGCACAATTTTACATGTGGTCTCAAAGCAATTGATGACCAATGTAGTTCTTATGAGTTTCTCGGTCGTTTCGTTATACTTTATAGTTTTCAAGTACAGTTTTAAAGATTCAGAATGTTTTTGTTATGCAAGTCAGTGTTCTAGAATAGATGAACAGTAACCTCTATATTTATTAAAATTTCTTCATTTACCAAAGTTAGTATTTACCAAATTTTCAGCTGGACTTGAATGGGTGAGTAGGAGTGAAAGTTAATATATGTAAATGTTAATAAATGTAAATGTTGTAAATAAACTGTTTCATTTTTGTATTTCTGGAGGAATGAATTGTGGTGTTGGTACTGACTTATTGACTTACTGAATTTATAAGCCTTTTCTTGAGTCTTGGCAAAATATGAATGATTTCAGGCTTCATGCTGAAGTCCAGAACCTGACTTTGTGGGGCTACTTAAAGGGTAGATGGAGAACTCCCAGCATCTCACTGAATAGAGAGAATCTTGACTTTATCTCTGTCACATTTGTTACACCCCTATAACTGAATGTGGAAAAATTTGTTTACCTCATATTACTTCAGGTCAGATGAGCAGTTCATTTAGCATTTGCAGCCAGCTCTTGGGAATTACACAAACAGGTTGCCATTTGGGGTCATTTAACTGCTGATATTTAAATAAATTGCCATTATGATCTCCTAAGAACAAGGAACCACTCCTATAGGGGGAGAAACAGGAGAAAGATGGGCTTATATAAAGCAGGTGGCAGCAGAGAGAATTCTAAAAGTCCAGTAGCCGCTTCTGAAAGTAAGTTGTAATATTTCCTAGTATTTTTGTTCAATTTATGGTGTGTTTCTGTTGACTGCAAATTAATTACTTATGTTTACTGATGTTTTTCAGTTATGAGCTATGAAATTATGTTAATCTATGCTAAATTTTAGTCCAGTTCAGGATTTTGCAAAGAGAATGGGTAGTCTGTGCTGACTGATATTTCTTTTTCCTTCTAATAAGGAATTCAAGAGACAAACGAGAAATGTCTGAAGTCAACAACAGTGCTTGGAATAATAACTGCTCCGACACTCACGACCTTGTCCTGCCTTTGATTCCATACAGTCACTGCCCCTACAACCGCAAATATGCTGTGAACTTTATTCCTCTTGTGCTTCACATGCTTTCAGTCATTGGCATCATTGGAAACCTAGGGAGCTTGTGGACCTGCCTGCGACCCTCCCAACCTTGGAGTATTGGTTCCATTGGTGTCCTGAACCTGGCCTTAGGTGATCTTGTCTATCTCGTCTCTGTAACACCTTTGGCTCTGTCCATGAGCGCAGACTACAACTGGAGAATGGGCCACATCCCCTGCATTCTCTTTAAGATCTTCTACTTTGTGGGTTTAACATCTAGCACCATGTTCATTTGCGCCATTAGTACTGATCGCTTCATGGCCATAGTCTTCCCACTGGAATCTAGAATGATCCGCACTACTTGGAACAGCGCGTTGGTTTCCCTGCTGCTCTGGGCCATCACTGCCCTCCTCATGTACCTCAGCTACCCCAACATCCTGTACTGGGTGAGGAGGAGTGGTGTCCACATTTGTGGAGCAGTGGTGATCTCCAGGTTCAAGACTACCAAAGCTGCATACAATGTTTTGTCATACTACTCTATCCAAGTTTCTGTGCCTCTGCTTCTCATCATTCCATCCTATGCAAAGATTATTGCCCGAATAAAACAGTCAAGACAGAAGTGGGGCCAAGCCAACTTGCAAGTTCAAGACAAGACCATCTGGCTGATCTCTGTTTTCATAGCCAATTTCCTGATTTGCTGGGTGCCAGGGCAGCTGCTGCACATTGTGGCATGCATACTCTTCTTCACTCTTAATGACTGTAATAACACTTGTTGGGTAGCGTGGGTAGTCAATCTGCTAATGGATACCTCTGAGTTGCTGTACTGTCTCAATGCATGCCTAGATCCCTTCATTTTCCATATGCACCAGGGCTGCATGGAGAAGATTCACAGGGCAATGGGTTGGTTGATTAGCTGTAGGCAAAAGTGGCTGCGGAAGGAGAAAAAACAGAAAACAGCTCCTCCTGTGGAACCTGTCAGTGTGGTCCAACTTCGAGGCAGTCAAGATAAACATATGGTTGTTCAATAAATATAGCAAAATCACTTGTAGGTTCACAGTGATCGATTTGTTGTTTGTACAGTATTGCACTTTATCCTGATCTACATTGTGTTGTGAATATAGTGTATCAAGAGGATGGGGGGAGAAAGTTGGGAATTGTTGCCTGTACCTGTATGAACCTTTTCAGTGTGATTCAGTGTCAAACTTTCTGTTGTGGCTTAATAAAATTACAGCCTCTGCTATATGGAAAAAATGCAGCTTTGACTTTTTGTATGGTGATGCTAGGCAGAGACGGGCACAAGTCAAAGCATCAGAATTTTATATCCATATAATGAAGATCCTCCTTGCTTTCTAGGGTCCACAAACACATACCTTACAGAACTATCTATAGGTGAGGTGCCCAGACTTTTTATCCACAAATGTTAATTGAGTGATAAACAACCAGTGTTTGTCTCTTTCTGTGCTTAATTCATTTTATGGTTGCTTTGCATTCTTTGTCTACTTAGCACTTAAACTGGTGAATGTGTACAATAAGATTGCTAGCTAATTTTTGTAGACCTGTTATTATTTATTTCTGCATGTTAGCACCTGGCATGTGTTATTTTGTTTAAATGGTTGCTCCCCCTTACTTGTTTGTATAATGCATTAAAGCATTAAAAAAAAAGCTTGGTTTAGAGTAACTTACCACATTTGGGCAACCCTGATCTACAGTAATACTATAAGATCTGTAGTTATAGTATGAGAAATCTATTTCTACAGATTTATATAGTGCTATTAATAATCTATATGTCGCCTTCTACAGTATTCCTGCACCTTCTTATAGTAAACTGTAATATTGTTGAAACCTTAGTTATTATAATTAGTTATTTGAATTATTTTTGTTTTCATATATATATATATATATATATATAGACTCAAAATTTTAAACAACTAACAGGGACAGTCTTTATTTACATTATGAACTATGTTTTACTTGTCATCATTACAACATTACAAGCCGTAATAATTACAACCTGTTTTCTTTCAAATTAAGGCTGCTAGCAACAGTTTGGACTTGTAGCTATTATTCTATAAAATTTGCCAAACGGGGGTAAGTTTTCTTTCTCCCCATTCATTTTACAGTTTCTAATTTGAAATGTTTGGCGTGTTGGGAAAAATCTGGTAGACGCTGGATGGCAGAGTTGTCCTCCAGTTAATTTACCATCCAAACAGATGCTGACTGACTGACCACTGTTGTCGGATTCAGCCGGCTAACTAGCATTAAACCACGGTAGCCACACTGTTCTCGGGTTTAGTTTTGTGACCTCCTCCAGCGATAGATAAATGGTCACCGGGAGTAAGTTATTAGCTAGCTAACAAACTATTTCGGCAAATGAGACTTATGCCTCCGCGGCCAGCGACACGGTAGCTAACGTTGCCAGATCACTGGATGAGTGTTGGCTAGGACGCTCGCTAGTTAGCTAAGGCTAACAAGCTAACTTTAATTTAACAGCTTTCTCAAGTGAAGCTCGGCTGCTGCATGAGCAGCTTTATAGCAGGCGTTCAGATGCTAGTCTGTAGGGAAGAAGCCGTTGATACAGTACAATGTGACCTGTAGCAAAAGCCGGTGAGTGCACAGCTTGCAAATCATGCGTTTTTTGTCATGAAGGAATCAGCTGTCGGCATTTTTAGCTAAACTTTACCCCAACAGTGACATAAACTACTATCAGAATGAACAGTTTTGTTTATTCTCTCGCTGCCTTTCCTTTCGCGTGAGCTTTGTAGCTGAGTTTAACTAAGCGAGGAAAACATTAGGCTAGTTCAATTCATTAGTAGTACGGCTGAAGCGGCGAACAGCTGGTTACTGAAGCTTAATCCTCATCGTCCCTCCTCCCGCATTCACCAACCAACCTCGTCTCTGTGTGTTTTTTTTTCGGTTGTGTGCAGGGGACATGACAGGGGGCATCTCCCCTAAGAAAAGACTGTGACGGGTTCACTGAGAAACTGCTGACTGCGGGAGAGTGAAACATGCTCAATTTCACCACCACATCCAGTGGAAATATTCCTCCCCCGGAGCGAAGCGGAGCTGACTGACTGATTGGAGCGGCTGGAGTGCGGAGAAGAAGAGGCGATTTCAGCCTTTTCGGAGCACGACCTCGGGGCTGTTCACTGTGTTTGCACGGTCGAGAGAAAATGAAGCAGCGGCGCCTTTATTTCTGTGGTCATGTAACGATTTTTTAAAAACGAGGCTAAAAAGGGGTCACACTTGTCGATCTTACACAGATCTGGCTAAGGTAGGTTAACGTTAACGCTAGTGACGTTAACATTCTCATGACACGAGCTCAAGATGACGGTGGAAAACTCTACAATTAAAAACCGGATTAAAAATCTCCTCCGGTCTCCTTCAATCAAGCTAAGGAAAAATAAAGGCGGAAACAACAAAGAAAGCCTAGGAAATAAGGTACGTAGTCTACTGTACATTACAGTAGGGAAGCATATGGTGTCCGTATTCGCCGGTAGCCTGGTTGTTTGCGGTCGAAAGCCATGTACATGACGGCTGCCTGGTGTGGGCAGTGTGGGCTATTTCACTCTTTATCGAAGTGTTCACTGAGGCTTTTTTATGTGTGTTTTTTAGGATTTACACAAGCACCATTAGGCAAGGTACTTCCACCCAGGATTGCCACTGGATCATAACAATGAAATTCTCTGTTAATGACAAGCTGCAGTAACCTATATTTGCCCGTTGGGTTCCTTTAACTCTTATCTGCTGCTAATGACGTGTAAAGCTATTAAATACCCAAACTGGTCAACTTTGCGTTCTGTAATAATGTTTAGCCAAGTCTTTCCCGGAGTGCTGAAGCATCAGATCGTTTTATCATTGGCGCAGCCTTTTATTGCACATACCATTTGTTCTTCCTAATGGCACTGGTTATACAAGTATAAGCACATCCTGTGTATTCTCATAGATGAATGCTTGAGCTTTTTTTTGCAGCATGGAAAAATGTCTGTTTTGGAATTCTATTCTGATACTTGCTATCAAAACTGACTTTGTTTAGTGTGTGCAACTGTTAATGCATGTAAGCAGCTAACTGAGCATTGCATTCCGTTCTGATTGTCTGTTTACTGCCGTAGACAAATGGTGACTGTACTTTCCTATTTAAGCCTGAGGGTGCCTGTGACTTAAGGATTGTTCATACTGTTAAGCCATCCAGAAACACTCATTCAAGTGTTGAACCCTGCTCTCCATTACAGACACTGCTAACTGCAGGAACTGACTGTAACACTTTCACAGAAACACAAGTGTATTTGCTGTACTCGACTACATTGGGTCAGCAAGTCTCAGGCAGCCTTATAAGTCCACTGTAAAATGTGCTCAACTCTATGTTACACAGTCCATGTTCATGCATGATCATCAATAAGCCCCTAATAACATCTTAAGTACAAATCTGTGCCATGTGAATCCGTTGAGCCGTTTTTGACTGACAAGCCACATTAAAATGCATAATTTATTGCCACGCAGAAGATTTTAAACAGTGTACCACTGCTTCATAAAAGACAACATTCAACTCCTGGCTAAAGGAACTGAAGATTCTCTCGGGGACAGAGCCAGACAAAGCGAGCTTGTGTGTGTGCGTGTGTGCATGCGAGGGGGTTCGTTCAGTAGTTCTAGACTGGGTTTTGTTTCCTGAGGCCCATGTGTTGTGCAGCATCAAAGGCATAACTGCTCCTCCCAGTTGCACAGTGCTTGCTGACCCTTGGCTTTAAATCTCTTTCTTTGCCTGTACATAGTACTGGAGTTGGAAAAAGATTTCTGGAAATGTCTGGTTGAAATGTAGCCTGCAGCTTTAAAACTCCTCAGCGATGACCTTTGCCTTGTTTCGAGGTACAAACAGCATGCATATGAAATTCCTCCATCATATTTCCACCATATTGCCTTTGTTCTCAAACTATATAGTCTGTGTTAGTCTTCTGTAAAACAATGGGGAACATTTGTAAACAGTTATTGTACTTCATGGATGGAGTACAGCGGTCTTTCATGACCGTTTCAGTGATGCTATACAGCCATACTTGGTATGGTAGAAGATGGGGCTGATTTATTATTTTATAATTGTGTAAACATGACTTTGGGAGCAGGTGACAATTTGAAGAAAATGTAAACATTATCTTTAATAAGTCATTGGGTCCAGCATTTACATTAGCTGTTTAACTGTGCTGCAACTTGTGCGCCATATTTAAACAGTGTTTCTCGCACATAGGTTATGTTTGTGCACTGTATACTGATGGCCAGCCAAGCATATTCTGTCCTGTTTTACTATATCCAATTTAATATTTTGTCCCATTTTACAAAGAGAAAATATTCCAAAGATAATATACTTTATTTTTTATGAATACACTGTGGGACACAATGTCACTGATGCAAAGCGTCACTCCTTATGTCTGTATTAATTTCCATGACTTAAACCTTGAGGTGCATGAGCTGCCTAACATCTCAAAGCAAAAACACAGGTGGTTTAATATCCACTTGATGCCTTAATCAAATACCTGAATAAGTAAACAAATGCTGTAGTGAGTTTGGATATCCATACATATATTCTAATAACCTGTAACCTAATGTAAAGCCTAAATGATCAGCTATTCAGGTTTGAGTATGTGTCTCATTGAAGGGACACTCTGGCCAAATAAAAAATATATACCTACTGTCCTCTTACAGCAGAGCTTGAAGTTTGATGACCCATTAAGGTTAGTTCTGTACCACTAATGCTAGTTTATTGTATTGTTTTAACCACTTATTCTCCAGTCCTTGAAGAACCTGAGTGGAGAAACACTATTGGCTGAGGTTTGTCTCATGTGACCAGGCACGGTTGGCACATATAGAAGAGTAGAAAACTAATCTGAGGGTTGTCCTCACTGAGGAGACCACTCACACACAAGGTCCTGCTCAACCCTATCAGGGTCCAGGGTCCTGGATTTCATAGACCTTTGGTTTTGAAATCAGTGAATTGCATTGCTTTACTGAAAATCAGAGCCAGACTATTGTAAAGAGAAACTTTTTGTTTAATGAATGGCATTAACATAGGATTGCACTGAAAAGAAAAATGTTCCCTGTGAAGAGACTGTTGAAAGCTAAAGGACCTGATGTAAGTGCATTTGTCCATCTTATTGCGTGCTGTAGTATACTACCAGGACAGTTGTTTGCTATTGTATGTTGTTTAATATCAAAAGGAACTTAATACCAATGCATTATTTTATATATGTTTGAATTAGCCCAGACTTCAAAGAGCAACGATAGAGAGTGTTTACTTGTAACCTAGCATTTGCCTTTTGCACTGGAGCTGCTTAACATAATGGAAATTCTTAACTCATCATTTCCATTTCAAATGACAGCACTGTTTTGGAGCAATAGTTACCAGTGGAACCCTTCTGGTCTGTAAAATCATGCTGGTCTTTTTAAGCTGTTTGTTGTACAGTGCAGTTATTCTGCAGGAGCTTTTTGAAAAGGAACCAACCCCAGTTAATTTGTAGCACATTGTCTCTCATCAGCTCCACATGCATCATCCTGGCACAGAGGCAAATTACACCCTTTCCTAGTCCGGCAGGCGAAATGATAGAAAATAATCTCCATAGTTCAGGCAAGAATGTTGCTGTCAGGTTTTATCAGTCTTTGTGGCATCTCTTTTTTGAGTCTTCTTGTCTGTTTGCTGTTGGTGTTGTCAGCTGATGTCCTGCACCTGTTATGCTAACAGTTGTTCACATGACAAAGTACCCGCCTCCTCTAGAGCTTTCCTTTCCATTTATCTAGAAATGATAGCAATATGTCAATGTGACGTGGAATGTGACATGGTGGTAATGTGTTTTTTTAATGTCTGTTTTGTTATCGAATTATCTTCTTTAACCGAGAAGAGCTTAACTAATTTCCACTGAACATTTTTTCTCCTTATCACGCTTGTTAATCTTTTATCTTTGTCTTGTCATTCCTCAGGTCACTCTTGAGAAGGTTTTGGGAATTACAACTGCAGGGAACCGTGCTTTGGCCTGTGACCCTCGCTCAGGTTTGGTCGCCTACCCAGCAGGGTGAGTCACGCAAGGAAAACTACATAGCAGCTCATGTGATGAATGCTGTGATAAAAAAAGTTGATGCTATGTGAGAAAGAAATCTCTTGCCTTCAGAGGTAGTTGTCATTCCCATTTCCGCAGAGCTTCATTCTCAGGAAAACTGCTTCTAACCATATTAACATGTTCCTCTGCAATATGCAGTATTGCTGAAATGCAGTAAGGAGTCTAATGAGTTTTCAAAGTGCTGTTTTGGATTCTAAACTCACTCTATCAAATTGATATGGATTGTAAAGAATGCAGCCTGAGGGGACAGAGTAGGAGGAAAATAAAGTGGAGATAGAAAGCCATCTCCCAGCACTCTGCTAACAGCTGTGCAGTCATGCAGGGAAATTAGGTGGGGTACAAACAGGAAATGCTGGGTCAGGAAAGAGGGTTTTATTCTCTGAGGTGTACATGGACTCAGAGTGTGTAGTCCAAACAGGTCTTCAGTAGGTGCGCTTGCCCGTCGGCTGTCATGCTGTGGCTTAACCCAGCGCTCCACAGGAAGGATCCTGCGTTTTCAACATCCTGTGGGTGCAACATTCTGTCACCAAAGCAGTTCTTCCCTTTAAAATAGACGCTTTGGGATCCTGGCCTTGACTTCAACTGCAGTTAAAATTATAGAGTGTATCTGTGTGGTCGGCCCATGCGTTTAAAGTTTGTCTTGCATAGTCAGCACCTGGCCTTCGGTTCAGTTTATGCTAAACCATACATTTCATAAAGTGCTGTATTCAGCTGTCAGCAGATCATTTTTTCATGTTTTGGCAAATGGCTAGAAATGGATTATGCTGGCTGCGATATTCCTGACATTTTGCTAATGTTCATGATTGCTAGGACCCTCCGCTCAGACATCACATGGTGCTCTTAATCAGATTAAGCTGTTAAGCTTTAGAACTCACTCCATGTGAACAACATTCCTCATTCTCTTCCACATGCTTTCTTGTCTTTTCTCAGTAGGGGATGTTTTTTTAGGAATGAAAGGAATGTACTGTACATTCACATTGGTACTGTTTCAAGAAGTTTGAAGCTGTTAACTGGGCGAAAAACACTTCATGTATTGTCACTGAGGTAGTGTTCTGTCAGGCTGATTGTCAAGCTCTCCTTATTCCTTCCGCTAGTCCGACACCTCATTCAGAGTGCACTTAAAGCATAAAATGGTTTGATATACAGTATGATGGCTTAAGATCGATAACCCAGCCCTCACAAGGGACCTCTTAAGTCAGCAGCTTGCAGATTATGCCAAGTTACCAGTTGGTGCAGACATCTGACCATGGGCTGCAATCAGCAGAGACTCAGCAGCTGTTAGTTTTAGGCTTTCCAACCCTTTCCCAGTGGAAGTTGAAGAGAGTTTCCTTCAGCACTTTCTTTTTTGAAAGCTGTCTTAACCACTGTGTTCAGTGTTGTTTCTGAGCTCCACTGTCACCATTACAAATGAAGTTTGTAACTTATTGTTGCAAATGGAAGGGCTGTCCATTTCATAACATCTGGCCCTTTGACATGATAAATGTTGGCCTTGGTTTCCAGGCCACTGTTAGGAAATAGTTTTTTCAGACTGTTTTCATAAGCCAAATGCAAATTACTTCATTATCTCCAGTATTAATTTTATCCAAACATTTGTTATCTATTTTAGCGGAGGTGAAAATGTTATCAGCCAAGTGCTTCCCTGTTTTACTGCTCAGGTTCCTTAGCAATGGAGCCTCAATCCAATCTGATTCCAGTCCATGCAAATCTACAGTGGTGATTTAGCTGATTGAAACTTCTTAGATATCTTAGATTGAGTTCATATGTTAGCCAACATGTCACACTGGCCACATAGGATGGTTCTGATAGGGTGGTGTAGGTCTGTGGTTTCAGCCAATGGACACATATCTTACGTTTCATTCAAGTGTATACTGAAAGTTCAAAGGTCCAGACAGAAGTGATTGATAATTCCCTTGAGTGAGTCTAGTCAGTAGTGGAAAATGAGCATTATCTCGATTCAGAAGGAGCAGCTAATTCCATTTGGATCCATCGTTCTTAATTAAATATGAAGTACTCAGTGGGGAGCTGTCCTTTTTTCCTGAAGTGCACCTAAATGAAAGGATGTGAAGGAGTGCTTGCTTGCTCAGGAGTGCTCTCATTCAGATTGATTGACCTCATTTGTAGCTGGAGTTTTTGTGAAGTTCTTTGCTTCTTAAAGGCTGTATTTGTGAAATGCCTCAACTGGGCTTTTGCTTATGATCATTTTCGCCAGCCTGTACAGTTTTGTACTTGAATTACAACAAGTCTCACTCAGATGCATGAATCCAGCATGGACATATTCATACTATTGTGGCACCTTTCAAACACAATGTCACCATTTACTCAAACAATACCCAAAACAATTTAACTGCTGTTTATGAGGAGGACAGAATTTGAGTAAAAAAGTCCATATTAGGAACTGCTGTGCAGTATTGTTTAACTCTCAGCCAGACTCAGTACTGTAATGTGCAATTGTGTAAAAAGTTCAGTCATGTACACGGCCAAGACAAACGGGACGAGCTGGATTCACACAGGCTCCGTGCGAAGTGACACTGATCTGTCAAACAGACACCCTGTTACCCAATGCGCTATGGAAGTCAATGGTCTTTATCAGTGCTCATCTGCTGAGAACTGAAGTTACAAAGTGAACTTTCTGGTTTTAAATAACTATCAGTTTACAGATTACATGAGTAATGCTAGCAATGTTAAAAATGTTCATGGTATCAAGGAAATACTCAAATACAGTGCTGTGCAAAAGACAGAGGCCACTCTTCATTTATTTAAGTGTCAGTGACATCGGCCATTATCTTCAAATCCATGTGTCACCCTAAGGAAAAAAAGAGAAAACATATATTTAACAGAAAATAACGCAAAACCCACAATAAATAAACATAATATCAAAATTAGTGTATCTGCCTGTGGATAGGAACACCTGTGTATTATTTCAGATATGGAGTAAAAGTTGAGCTTGATTTTCTCCTCTATCAAAGATGAAAGCTTTCGGTACTGTTTATCTTATGGGGAAAGTTTTGGTGGTCTACCAGGTCTTGCATGGTTGTTAGAAGCCCCAGTTTCTCTGTATCTTTGAATCATTTTTGGCGCTCTAGTTTTGGAATCTCCTGTTTTTTCACTTATTTCCTTCCCGATTACTTTTACAAATGGATTATCTAACCTCCTCATTAATATCTGCTGAAAAATGAATAATTTGTACTGAATGGGTGGTTAAATAAATAAATAAAATAAATAAAGGGTGGTCTCTGACTTTTGCACAGTAGTGTATGCTGTATTTTATAGATAAAACTTACCAAAATGAAAATAAAATAAAAGCTATTACAGTAACATACCATCCATGTGAATGTTTGAATAATGAACAAGCTGCCTGACAGTGTTTTACTTTTGTATAGATCTGCACAGAGAACATAAACAGTCTTCTGTATTAATCAAACATGCATGAAAATGTGTGTCAGGCTTTCTCTTGCTCGCTCTCTCTCTGTCTCACTCTCTCTCTCTCAGCGAGCACTGCAGCAAAGTGGGTCAGTAGAGCTGAGCGCAGAGCAGCTGATGAGGGAATGAGCGAGGGACATGATAATAGTGCAATAGCAAAGAAGTGGAAAGAAAACTATGAAAACAGAGGAAAAGAGGCTGGTAGGGACAGAATGCAGGCATGTATTGGGCCTAATTGCTGGTCAGCTGAATAAGCGGAAGAGGGTTTTTCCTGCAGTGTGTGTATTTAACAGTGCTGTTTTCCACTGCGTGGTCTGCATCTGTGCTGCAATGCAGCAGTCAGGACTCTGTGGAGCTTCAGCAGTGCAGACGTTATCCCCAGTGACCTCTTGCATTAGCGTTCTCTCCGAGCAGAGCAGCACAGTCCAGATGAGGTCTAAATGTAGATATTATGTGGAAAATGTTAGCCCTGTAAAAGGATGATTTAATATTTTCTGGTATTTTCTCTGGAAAAGCATGCCACATAAACTGCTCCCAGTGTGTCCGAGTATTAAAGAGAGCACAGTGCCAGTTCTGCCGAGCCTGGTGCTGAAGTGGTTTATCCTGCCAGCAGTGAGCTGAAGCTGCAGGATTGGGGTGTTGAGGCTCCGTCTGCTCATGCTGTTCCGTCCAGGATCAGCGGGATAGCCCTGCTAACAGCCAGATCAGGGGTTAGGCTCAGAGTTGGAAATTGATCCTCTACTGTGTATGTAGGGGGCGTGTGTGTGTGTGTGTGTGTGTGTGTCTGCGCAAGGCTTGACCACCTGTCTCTCTTGTTTATCCCACTTACCAGATGGTTTTATCTTACCAGTTATTGCTGCTCTTCATTAGCACATATAACAAATGCTCATGCTCGTAACAGTTGCAGATAACACACATGCATGTTGCAGATAACACATTTGCATGTTAGAGATGGGATTGAGGAAAACCTCCATTCATGATATCGGTGATCAAATTAATTGCGTTTTTTGGTATTATTGAAATAATTTGAAGCACGATGCTCAGCATTATAGTGATTATTAAAAACATTAAAAAACACAAAATATACACTAAATTATTATCACCATAGGACAGTAAGACAGTATTTCTGTACAGGTATTGTTTTGATAGAATTTTATATAGTGCTTAAACAGCTCTATATGACAAAGAAACAAAGAAAATATATATATTTATATAATAATATATATATAATATATATATATATATATATAATATAATAATAATAAAATATATTTATATATTTACAACCTACATGAAATTAAAGATGGAAATTGTCAAATAGAATTAAAACAAAAAAATGTATGGTAACAGTTTTTTGCAGGAAATGATGTCATTACGCAAAGAGCAAAAATCTCAATTATTCATTATCATTTAATGCATTTTCATTTTATCACTTGCAGCTTGTGCAGAAAGTAGATGGAAATGTGGCTACATTTTTGAAAAGTAGGTGTACATGTAGGGGTGGCGAGATGGCCAAAATATAACAGTACGATACA